ACTTATCACTGTTTCACTCAAAATTACCACACACGGCCTTTGGCCTGGACACCATGACATATCTTTTTTAAAAATGACTAAGTATTTTCAGCCAAGTTGGCTTGTTTATGTCAAATATAGGTTTTACAAATCTGCTCTTACCTTCAAACGTTTTTGTCAGGGCAGCAACAGTACAGTTACCTTTGTTATAGAATATAAAAGCACCTGTCCATCTGCCACTTACTGTCTGTTAAACAAATTCTGAGCCAACAGAAAACCCATAAACCTGGCTGAAGGAAACATTGCCTCCTCTTCTGCTCACGTTCAGATGGGAAGTACATTATCTGAAGAAGCTGGCTTTGACCTTCTCTGTGAAAAAACAAAGCTTCCAGCAAAAAGGCTGACATAGAGCAACATTTGGAGAGACAGGGGGCAGTCTGGTTGCTCAGAGGGAAACGCTGGGCGTAGGAAGTCAGACGGCTTTACAACCATGTCTGACGTATGAAGGGAAAAGTCATTAATTTAAATGAAATGGCTGTTGTGGTAACTTATGTTGAGCAACTGAATGCAACGTTAAATAATTGAGTGTGAGTCAAAATCAGAGATTTGGGTTTAATCTGGATTAAAGATGACGAAGAGCCCCCGTTGGTCTGCAGTTCATGACTTAATGAAAGCAGAACCCCCTGGGGCTGTGTGTGTGTGTGTGTGTGTGTGTGTGTGTGTGTGTGTGTGTGTGTGTGTGTGTGTGTGTGTGTGTGTGTGTGTGTGTGTGTTTTGAATGAGTGTTAGCACAACCCGCCACTTCATGAGATCAGACCCCTGCAGAGATAAGACTACCAAGCTACAAGGCTCAATTATTCCCTGTTAGATGGATTCAATAGGACTGAAAAGAAGAGAGAAAGCTTTTGCTACTGTAGACGGCTGCAGAGCCATCAGCGGGGGTTCGGTCTGACGCTGGAGATGAAGGAGTCCCTCCTTCTGACGCTGAAGCCAACAGGAAGACACCAGTTAAAAAAAGATGCTCAGATTTTCCAGATGATCCACTAAATCATCTCTGAGAATCAACATCAGGAAGAAAAATGTTATTTGCATGATCTTTGATTTGTTTTATCATCCATCCGTCCATCCGTCCCTCTGTCCGTCCGTCCATCCATCCATCCATCCATCCATCCATCCATCCATCCATTCGCCTCTGCTTACCCGGCGTCGGATCGTGGAGACAGCAACCTAAGCAGAGAGTCTGGGCCAGGTCAGCTGAGAAACAGTCCCTCCAGAGGGCACCATTGCGGGTTACCAAACAGTCCGCTCGGCACAGCGAGGTTGGGCCTGTGGAGATTGGTCGAACTCGGCAAGTCAAGCAGCTGCTTCTGAGTCCAGAAGATGTTCTAACATTAAATACTGTTGTAAAATAAACATATTAGTAGAAATGAATCCCTACTCTGTACGACTGGTCACTGGACATGGTGCTGGCTGGCTGGTCACTTCAGGTATTGACCGTAAACCTAGCCTCTCAGTGGCTAGAAATCTTGTTCTATTGTTGCAACTACAGCCTCCACACACTAGATGTCGCTATGGAGTTTCTGTTCCATATTTTACCTTTAATTAGTAGTTTGAATGTTTAAAGCACATGAAATCAAATAAAAATGAAATTTGAAGCAAAACCAATAAACTGGACCGCATTTGTACAAATGAAACCAAAAGTAAATTTTCAAAAAGCCTTATGTGGCATCTGTTAAATGTATATTTATAAAAATAACATAGATTTTTTACAGTATTATCCCAGTTGTACATACAGATGAAGGATCAAACCATCAGCGTTCCTGATTTTCCCCTAAGTAGGAAACATGCTGGAAACAGCAGGAGTCAGAGAGCAGCCTGGCGGCGCTTCTGTCAGTCAGCTGGAGGAGCATCAGACTGCGTTTGTACAAGTGCACTCAAATTCGTCTGATTCAGTAAAAGACTGGCTGCCATTGAGGAGATCAAAGCGTGAAAACATTCCTGTCTGCTGGGCTCACCTGTCAGAGCTCCTAAAGACATGAATCACTGCTTTAGAGGAAGGAGATCTGCAGGGAGCGTTGCAGTGCGGTTTGATCCCCTCCAGGTTGATGCTCTGCTTTGTCAGGCTGAAATATTTAACACGGCTAGGATCAGACTTTAAATTAAAGACACTTCTTCTGCTCATGGAGATAGAACATTTGTGGCAGTAAACCCAGAGTGATGTGCTCATTTTGCAAGCTAAAATCTTAAGTGAAAATCTAAATTTCTTCTAAGATCTTGTTTTGTCTTCCCTATAAACTCTACTGGTTTAATTATGAGAATAAATAGAACAATTCAGCTTATTCTCCCTGTGATGTGGCTCCTCGTTACTCTTTTATTGCAATATCATTTCATTTTTTAGCTCCACTTTTCATGCATTAACCAGAGAGTGTGAGATTTGCTGAAAGTGCTGCACTGTACAGCAGCCAGATGTTAAATCCTAAATTATGCGCCCTGGATTTAACTCTTGCATTTATCGGCCTCTGGTTTGTGGCTTTTAGGATGAAGTCTTTCATTTACAAACGTTTGTGTGTGTGTGTGTGTGTGTGTGTGGGGGGGGGGGGTGAGTGTGTTTGTGCGACTGCGTTTGACCTGGGGTTTAGCTAGCTTTAGCCTGTGTGAGAGCATGCACATGGACCAGTCTCATGTTTCTTGTGGGAACCCTGCAGAAAGCTGAACTGATTGACGATTTTGGACTTTCGGTTGCTGACGATTAGAAAATGTGAAACGTGAGCACATTCCTGAGGTTCTAGCTGGAGCGCTGTGGCGGCACAGCTGAGGGCTTGTTGAAAGATGAGCGCTAGAAGGAAATTAGCCTACAGTAGGATCTGGAGGGGTCATAGAGAATTCATGCAAACATAAAAGAGAAAGCTTGCACCAAGAATTTCCTACTCCTAAAACGTTCTTTACGTGAATGTGTGAGTTTTTAATCTATAGTCTAACTGCAGAGCTGAAACTTGACTCTGCCTTTGTGAGACTCCTGGTGGGTTTCTGAGCTCTGACCTGTAAATGTTGTGCAACTGTTCTGCGTTCAGGTGTTATGTGCTCCAGATTAGTGGAGAGAGTGGAGTTGTGGGATTGTGAGAGTGTGACAGCTGACAATCTGAGGCCTCAGAGGGAAGGGGGGGAGGAGGAAAGAAGGGAGGGATCTGTGCAGGAGGAGGATGTGGTCAGACCGCGTCTACTTGCTGGGATCCCTGGAGAAACTGAGCCACAAGAGAAGAGAATGAAAGTGCAGCTGTTGTTGCAAGCAGCCCCCCCCCCCCCCACACACACACACACATGCAAGCACAATCACACACATGTCAGTCTTTCTATCATAATGAGGGCCATCCATTGACTTCCATTCATTTCTATGACTCCACTATGCCTAGCCCTAATCATAACCAATGCTGAGCTATTCCCAACACCAACCTTAACTAAAACCTAATTCACACTATACCTCTAAAACTAACTGGTAAGCTTCTAAAAAAAGCAAGGACCACAAAAATGTCCTCACTTTGTAGGGAAAATATTGAAAATGGTCCTCAGTATGTAGTAAGTTCAAGAACACACACACACACACACACACACACACACACACACACACACACACACACACACACACACACACACACACACACTACGGTGAAGGGCTGCAGCAACCTTGAATTTCATGTGATTTTATTTTAAGCTCTGATATCTGAAGGAAAACAACGTTAAACAACAAAAACCCAGCGATGCCCTTTCTGAACATGCTGTGTGTTTGATGACTTATTCATCTGTGCAGAAACTCATTTTACTTCTACAGAATACAGAAAACTGTTGACTTTTTCCTAATGAGAAATCTAAGAAGGCAGTTAGTAAAGATGTAGAACCTCCGCAGAGAGCATCATTGCATTTTTGATTAGCCAAAAAGGAGCAAATTATTCCATATATTCATAAATAAATTACCAATTTCTGGTGAAGGAGGTAACATTCTTGAACTATCCTGGGACTTTTCCAAAAGACACAAAGCAGCCGAAGCACTGAATGATTAGAAGGAATGATGCAGTTTTAAAATGCATCTTTTGAAATTGAATGTCATGAAATTCCAGTGATGAACTGAAGGCTGCAGAGTTCATGTTGATTTATATTATTTATTAAAGACACTGATGGAGTTGTGGTACAGATTTAGAATCGGTTTAGTGCACAGTCGTCGCTCGGGCTGTGAGTGACATGCCGGCTTTTACTCTGGAGCGAGCAGTTAGTCACACAGCAGCGTTTTACTGCAGAGGGCATGGATGCAGAGAGGAATCGCGCTGAGACCTGCGGAAAAAAAGGCTCCATGTTGGGATGCGAGGAATCACTTTTCCTGTTAAAAAATGTCCATTTCATTTTGTTTTTATCAACAGATTATTATAATATAAAGTGTTTTAAAATTTGACAAGTGAAAAACAGCTTCTCAGTGAACCTGCTCTTTGAGAGTATACCAAAAACAAGCTCTCTTGGTGTCTGATGATCACAGCTGTGACTTAAAATTACAGTTAAGGAGTTCAAATCTATACATAAAGCTCACTGATACTTATGAGTCAAACATGAAAGACAAAATACTGAAGGTATTTCAGCCGCCAGTGTAGGATCATTATTTAGTTTCAGCCACCAGGTGAAACTGGAAAAATTAGTTAATGGAGCTAAATGTAATTTATGTCGGTAATAAAAGGTGAGACTAATACTTAAGATAGACTCATTACAAGCAACGCCAGATATTCCAAGCCTTTATTTGTTATTTGTGATGATTATGGCTTACAACTTATGAAAATACGAAATTCAAAATCTCAATTAGGATTTTGTGAAAAGGTTCAATATTCTAGACTCAAAGTGTCCCACTAATGAATCCAAAACACCTGCAAAGGGTTCCTGAGCCTTTAGAGGGTCTCTCAGTCCATCATAATGGACTTTTGCACAATATTCTCATTTTTACCTGTATTTCACATATTCAAATGCAAAAATAAAGCATGACACAGTTTGTTCCTGTAAACATGTTTAATTGGATTAAAGTCAGACAGTTTTACACACAGGACACAAGATCACTACTAAAGGTTTGCAAAATCCAGATGAAAAATATCAACAACACTGAAGAAAATTACACACGGAAAAGTTTTAATGGAAGAAATAAATGTTCCATTTGCAAACACCAACTGAGCGATAGGACACCTCACACTGTGGCTTGTGGTAGAATATGTGTGTGTGTGTGTGTGTGTGTGTGTGTGTGTGTGTGTGTGTATTGGACCCTCTGAATGTTCAGAATGTATTGACCTGAATACTGAGATGACACCATATGGATTGGCTGGCCAAGATTCTCTGAAGGGCCTTGGAGGCCTAAACCCTGCTGGCGGAGTTCGGTGGTTTGGCGCCTCGTTTAAAACATTTCAGATTGTCTTTGCATAACAGTGGTCCTTCTTTAGAAACGAGCGAGAACAGGCAGTGTTTTCTGTAATTCTGAGGAAGTCTTTGTGAGAAGTTGTGGTTTGATCTGAACTGTACAAGTCTTGTGGCATGTTGTTTTGTGCATGAAATGTTTAGAACTGTTTTTCTTTGATAATTTATGTTTGCACAAAAGTATGAAAATCATGCAATGTGATATTACAGTGAATGCTTCTTATTGCCGTTGTATGGTTGCTGATAAATATGTAAAAAGGTCTGTACATGGTGGCTTCAGCTCTCCCTGGTCACTTTGTTAAGCTCTTTTATGAACTTGTAGTATTCAGATGTATATTTACTGCATGGTACAACATCAGTCATCTCATATGTTAAACCTTGGGAATAAACAAGCACACTCTGGTGCTGCTTCTCCAGTCTTTAAAGCAAGGGTACATATAAATTAATAATAAAGTCACTTCAAAATTGCTTGAATTTGACTATCTGACCCTGTTCTATGACCTAAAGTAGGTAATCGTACCTAATTTTCTCTTCCCTTATGGCCCTCCCCTGGCCTCTACAGCAAAACTGATTTTTTATGTGAGCCTAGAATATTGACCAATACAATTACACATCCAAAAGAGGGAGCTGTCAATCAACAAGAGTGAACCCCAGTTCCCAGCATGCAATGCAGGTCGATGCATTGACATACACTCAGCTTAGCATACCAACCTAGCTTGAACGCTAACTCGACCTGCATTGACTTGATGTCAGTCTGTAAACTTCAAGCTAACTGTGAAAGAGGAGGGACGAGAACAAAAAGGGATTTATCTTTTGTGTTTTGGAGCTACGTTAGCATAGCATTCAATCTTTCGCTACATCATACTACTATTTTAGCCTGTTTTAGTGTTAGCAGGGGTGTGCTAACATTGCGAGTGCCAGATTTCTACTGGTTTTAGATGTTTCCTTGCTTGAACCCTGCAGATTGGATTAAAATGAGTGATTAGCTGCTCCTGCAGAACCTGATGAAGGCTGAGGAGATAATTCAATTGTTAGAATCAAGTGTGTTTGAGCAGGAACATATCATAAACATGCAGCCATAGCAAACCCTCATTAGTAATAGGGAGCCTAAGTCACGCCCATCTACTTCTGGGCCATAGGTCCCTGGAAGAACAAAAAAATGAATGCAAGTCAATGGGGCTAAAAACATTATTATCTAATTCCGCTTGTTTCACACCACGGATTTCACATATGATGTCCGTGAATTTTAAAGACACATTTTTATACCAAGAAAGCACTTATATTCGAACGGGGGAAACGTTTTTAGGTTTTGTGTGAAAGTAAGTCCAGGACTACAAATGCGCATCACGAAAGAGACGTCATCGAACCAGACACGGAGAAAAACAGAAGGATAATGGCTGTAAGTTCAGCGATCTTCAAGACCTTCCTTCAGGAGGAAAGAACCACCGTAAATCTGGCCATGTGGTAAGTATAGCTATGCTAGGGGAGAACAGATTCTGTGGTGACATCACTTATGCGACGTACCAATGTCTGATTTGTAGTCCTGGTAATTACGAACTTTTACAAGCTGATAAATCTCAAAGTACGTGACAAGCATAGTCAAAACACCCATCATCAGTTTTCATTTAAATTGAAGTCCAACATACATGCGATCCAGGGCATAAGGCGAAGCGGATTAGACAATAACGTTTTCAGCTCTGTCGACTAATTTTTTTGTTCTTCGGGGGACTCGTGAGCCAACCGGAAGGGGAGGAGACTTAGGCTCCCTATATGATGCTATTTGTGTGTGGTATGAGCCATGGCTTTCAGCTCCTTGCAGGAACTATGGTCATTCAAATTTCTAAATCTCAGCCTCTCCTTGATGTTGTCATGCTTTGTGTCCCAGCTTTAAATGTGACCAACGGAGCCAGGCAGCACTGACAGAAAGGAAAAGTGAGCTTTGAAATTGAAAACAAGCACAAGATCCTATATTCTGTGCGAATTTTGAGACACACCACATTGTCACAAGACCGAGGAAGACTTCACTAAACTCTATTATTGATGCGGCAGTGTCTAATTGTTGTCTACCTTCCTGAGCAACGTGAACAAGAGGAGTCCAGATAAACCTGAATCTTTTTTTGTAAACCAAAAGATTGTTAGAAAATCTTAGTTGGCAGTGCATTCGGTAACAGCTGTTAGTTGCCTCACCACAACTGTGCAGTTTGACTCTTGGCACTTCTATTCATAGATGTAAAGATGTGAGATATGTGAGTCATGTCCTGTAGCGTGGCTATGGAGAAGTCTGTCAGTAATGTTTTTGCATCTCTGGCGACATTATGGGAAGGGTGTCAATGTTCGAAGACCACCAGGTGACCCGGTCACACACGAAGAGTGTGTAAATAAATCTGAGTAGTTGGAAAAAACAAACGTTTTTAAAAACAAGTCTCTCAGACACGCTGCAGCTCGCTCTCTCACACAGAGATTTTCAGATTGCCACACAAAATGTTGCCCTGATAATGTGAGTTGTGTGATGGCTGTGATGTTTCTTCCACCACCCAGCACCTGCCACACAGTCAGTCTGGCAACACTGGGCACCTTTTGGCTCACGGTTAGACCCACACAGCTGTGTTGTAGTCAAACAAGGGCTGCATTTTCACCAGGCCAGTCTCTGGATGCCTCCTGTCTAAATAAAGTCCTGTAAATGGCTGCTGGTGGAACTGGGGGAAGGGCTGATGATGATGATGAAGATGGTGGTGGTGTGTCTGATCAGACTCAGCTAAATGCACACATGGCCTGCCTTTCCCCTGCTGTCCATTTGCCCAGAAAGGCAGGTAAAAGCTGCCCTTGGAGCTTTTAGAAACCACCTTCTTTGGTTTTTTAAAGAGATCGCCTTGTGGCAGCTCGGGAGCTATCCACCCGGGTCGTTCCTTGAGAAGCTTGTCCCTGTCAGGCCGGACGCTGCGTAGAAACTTCTTGAAGATGTTTGTGGTAAGAGAGAACTTCCTGCAGATCTCCTGCGAGCGACTGAGATGTAGGGGTTGCGCCAGCGTGTCTGGTCTGTCTGCGTTGCCATCCATCGCCTGCTCCTCTCTCCTCTTCCTCATTTCCCCTTCTTCTCCTTCCTCCCTCTCCACCTCCGGTAGGTCCAGCCAGTTGCCTACGAGGTCTGCAAACACATTGTCCCCCAGCACTAAGGGCTGGCGGTTGCGGCTGCGGCTCATGAGCGAAGACGTCCAGTCGCTGCCATCGTCTGCGCTGTCCTGAGAGTAGTCGCTATCCAAAGAAGGACCTTCTCTGGAAAGGCTGTACAGGATCCCTGGCAGGTCCACCACCCTTGCATGCTGAGGAGCCTGTGGGTGAGGGTGCATTTCTGGTGGAGGGTTTCCTACCATTGGTCCGTAGAAGTCCACCTGAGGGGCGGTGTATCCCGACCACCTCTTGGGCACCAGCTCTGCCTCATTCTCAGCTCTTCCACTTCTTTCGCTGGTTTCACTCTCACTTTCCAGACTAGATGCAGATGATGACGAGGTTCCCACGCTGCTTCTGTTCAGAGATGAAGACTGATCATCTCTGCTTAAAGAGTTCCTGCTCTCCACGGACAGCCTCGAACTTGGAATCGGACTTGGAATGGGCTGCTCTGGCATGGTGTGTGTAAAACAGAACTGGTGCTCTTGTCTAGAAGCCAAAGCTGCTGCTGCTGCTGAGTTTGGGGGAACTGTTGAAGAAAGGTGTGGAATTCCTCGGTTCATGGGTTTTCCCGATATGTCGAGGTTTTCTAGAGCTGTCTGGACCTGAAGGAGCTTGAGTTCCTGGAGTGCTCCCATCATTGAATTCATCTGAGCGTGGAGGCCATCTCCAGCTTCTCTCATAGACAGCTGAAGGGAGACAGAAAGAGGTGCATTTTACACAAATGAAAGCAAATTTCATACCTTTAACTTCAAATGTTTGACTCTTTTCACATAATTCTTCCATCCTGTCTAATAAAGTCTGATGTTCTCGCTGCTCCACCACCATTTCCATCTTTTAATGGTTTCAAATTGGATAAATGCACACATGCATCACTACAAATAAAACAGCCGTGGTTCCTCTCTTCAAGGCTGTGGGGTCATGTGACCCAGTTTTGGATGTCGGGGCCGGTGTGCCATATGGCCTGCGTGTGAGTGGATCCAAACAGTGACAGCTGTAAAACACACCAACTTCTTTTCTATCCTCACTCTTCCACTTTCTCCAGCTTCACATTCTAGCTCCTTCCTCTTGATTTGTCTCATATTTGCTTCCTAATTCAAACTCTTTGTATACCTGCTGCTACGGAGCAGCAATAATACACCCTGCTTTTATCTGCCCCTCTTTCTTTAGAAGCCAGCGTCATGTGACTTGAAGTAACCGTCACCTCCCGGAGGCAGAGAGAGAGAGAGCCCAACGCAGCGTCCTGACCTGTGCCTTGACCTGCAGACTTGCACTACTCACACTCACACTTGAAAGCATTTTTTGAACTCTTGGTACAACTGGTTTATATTTGAAACATGCAGACGCTCATGGATGACATATGCAGCTGGAATCCATCCATGATCTTTTTAAAATAAGGATCTGTGGGAAGGTGAAGGAAAGCATGAAGAGAACTGTGACCAAGTCCCAGATTGTGTGGGAAAATGTTGGTGAGAAACACACGACTGCCAGTCAGAATGATGTCTACAGCAAATGGTGAGAAAGATCCAACTAAAGAAATGCAATCTTTTAGTAAAGACTCCGCACCTTACCTGAGGTATGAATATCCCTGTCTGTGTTTCCCTGGGAGTTAGTCGACACCTCGGCCAGCATGTCTCTGCTCCACAACATTCAAACGTATCGGCCTGACTGCCCCTATATGTATCACCCTCCAATGGAGAGAGTCCTCTGGGCTTCACAGCCAATCAGCATGTCGCGTCTAGACAATAATCACTATTCGGAGGGGGGAGGATGGTTACTCAGGCGGAAATATAAAGACAATGGGGGGGATGAGAGAGAGGGGTGGTGAGAGTCAGCCGGATGAGCAGAGACGAAGGGAGGGGGTTCGAGGGTAGTGATACTTTGCCATATGTTTGGATGTCGGAGAGAAAACTGTTGATGGATTCAATTATGGATGACACCATGAGAACATGGAGGGGGGTACCAATGCCAGCTTGTGATACTTAAATCTCGGGGGTGGGGGGTGGGGGGGTCGTGTTGACTCCTGGTGAGAAAATATGCCTCACCAGACAACTGACGGGAGTGACGTCACAAACAAAGAGAAGCATAAGTATCGTGTGAGAGTCACAAGGTGGGTTTACTGGGAAAAACGATGTGTCACCTGGTAACAGACACTTCTAGTTATAACAATAAAAAAAGGTCAACTTTTATCTTTTAAAGGTTGTTTAGGTGCAACAATCAACTTTTTGATTTGTTCACAAATTTATTCCAAACCAAACATTTTAACAATTTGAAATTGTGTCTTTCATGGCGGGCGGCTGCACATGAGCCAGGTACTGTTGGGTGTTCCTGGTAAAGGGAGGTTTCCTCTCCACTGTTGCTACATGCTTGCTTAGTATGGGGATTGCTGTAAAGACTCTGAGGCAACAAGTCAGTGACTCGATGCAAACTGCTGGGTTTCCTTATATAGGAAACTTTTAGCTAATTGGAATAATGAGCTGAACTCAGCGCACTAAGTTGGTTCAATTGGAACGTTTACTTTGTGACTTTTGTGATCTGGCGCTATATAAATAAACTGAATTTAATTGAACCATCCACTCATTGGAAGTTTTTACATATGAAAGGAATAATAAAAATTTTCCTCAATTAAAAAAAAAAGATTCCATCTTCATAGATTTAAGCACACAAAACATTTCAGATTAAGCACATTTTTTATGTCTTAGCCTCAAAAAATGCTAAAAGCTATGTACTTCACTGAATTCAGTAAATCCAAAAAGCACATAAGGTCTTAAAAAACAATTTTACATAAAAATGTGAAGAATGGTTTCGCTGGCCAAGTTGGCAGCAAACAGTTTGACATTTAATTTTTAAATAATAACAATTTTGTTGAGTGATTTTCAGTTTAAGTTCTTTAATAATGAACCCACTGTCAGAGACCATGAACTACTCCTTGACTCCTACACAATGTAAAACTAGGCTGAAACACATTTCCTGTCAGTGACACGATACGAGTGGGTGCAGGAACCACCTCCAAGATCTTATAAGAAGCCTGTTAGCACATGCTGGGAGCTAAAGGCTCACAGCTGAATTAGCCAGTGAAGATATGAGTAATTAGCGCGGCCAGGTTGTCTCTTGTCTTCTCCCGATCCTGGAACAATCACGGTTTACTTTCTTCCACATAAAAGATCAACGAGAGACAAGTTAGCAGGAAAATGTTAATCTGATGTGAACCACTTAAACGTACTATGTTTGTTTTGGAGATTTTATCTTCTACATATTCTCTCAGTCACACGGAAACTCAACTGTTCGCACATGCAGAAGGAAAAACATTGTTTGCGTGCAAATATAAAAGTATCACTGAAATACAGGCATACCCTGCAGTTTAAATAAAAAACACAGAGTTGTTGACTTTTGTTCTCTGGGATTATTAATTATTCATGCTCACTCTGGGCAACAAACAGGAACACTCATTGACAAAGCTGTATTATCCAGCTTTAACCATGCCAACTAGCTCTAGGCACTCTCCTACTGCCATTTAAAAGCTGAACTTTATGGCCTAAATACGTCAGATGTCTCAAACAGGATTCTGCCATTTGCTGAAAGGATTTATGGAAAAAAAAGCCCTGCAGTGATTTTTTAATTTTTATTTTAGCCCCAGATGCTGCAAAACTCTGAGAAGCCGTGTGTTGACAATGTGTTAATCAGCTGAGGGTCACATTAGGATAAAGAGACACGGACCTGACAGGACCTATGCAAACACTTTAAGATCGTTAAGCATAAAAAACTAAAGATTAAAAATTCTGCGCATCTAATCTAATTTAATAAGAGTACTGGAGTGAAATTGGAGCTGCAGGGAATTAAGTCCCTGCCCAGAAACACCAGCATCATTAGGACAGACTTGCAGAGTTGAGTTAAATCTTTTTGAACTTAAGCCTCAAAGTATTTTAGTCATTTAATCCACCCAGCCTACATCTCTATAAAATGATTCAGCCAGCCGCCCCCACTTGTTCGTCTGGATGCAGCGGAGCCAGTCGAGCACACATAATTGCCAATCAAGAGTGCAATGCATCAGAATTAAAGAACAAAAGCTTCAAGACTTAAATTAATGCTGAACTGAGGCTTATTAAGCCTTGGAGGCATGTTGATTCAAGAGGAAAAAAATGGTGTTTGATTGCTGTAGCACCTTGAGTCTTTTCTGCATTCTGAAAACTCTTATTTTGTCAGGGTCACGGGATGCTGGGGACACACTGGACATGGTGCCAGTCCTTCACAGGGACATACAGACAACCAGTCACCTACTCACCCCTACAGGGACAATCTAGAGACACCAAATAACCTAACATGCTTGTTTGCTGCCTGTGGAAGGAACCACAGGAGAAAACCCACGTAGGTGTGAAGAGGACCTGCAAACATCGCGAATAAAGGTCACTGCTTGGAATGTAACCTGGAACAACTGCTACCACATGCATCACCATCCAAACACCAGCCCCATCCAAACAAATCTAATCTTCTCCCTGGTGACTGTTGAGACACGTTCTACTGAATTTACTCGAGAAACAATGCACAGTTTAGTCAATGAGCGCACACATCCACACGTGTCCAGACTTGTCTCTCTTAAATAAACTGTGACATTTTTTCTTTTGTTTTGTGAATCTATGTAAACTGCATTAATACGCCTAGAACGACAAGCAAACAAGAAATCACAGTTTGCTTTCCAGACTTTAAAACAGTGGCACACCCGGGGGAGGGATGGATTGGGGTGGGGGGGATTCCATTTTACCAAACTGTGATAAACTATTTAATAAAGACCAATTTAAATGCACATGTATCTCACTGAGACTCATCATTTAACAAAGTAGAGCCCAGTCATTTTGTTAATTATTTATTTTTTTCTAAAACAGGAAAAATATTTTAAACAATAACTGAAATAACCGTTTGAACTTTTGTGTTTATCTGAAATGTTCATGTTTATCAAATTTGGGGTAAACGTGTTGGTTGCATAGGCCTCTTGCTTTTTTATGAAAAAGAATGAAGGAGCACAGCAATACACAGCTACAGCCTAAACTCTCCCAGCGTTACCACCGGGACCAATTTGGTGTGCCACCCCAAGGTTTTCACTGCCCCCCATGACAATTTTCTGAGGCTGCCACTGCTTTAATACGCAGCCTTTTGCTTGTCTTTGTTATGTGCTGAGGGGAGAAGAAACCCTGATTCCAAGGTCAACGAAGCAGAAAGATCTTCCAGTTTAGAAGGAGCTGGCCAGCAGGGGCAAATAAAAAGCTCCACACCCTCCCTCCACCTGTTCCTGAAATTAAAAATGAATGGAACGGCTGTGTGGGTCAAGGGCAGGAATGGAGTCAGTCTGGGGGACACAGAGATGGTCTCTGTGGTTAAACTGCTGTGGACAGCCCTGAGGTTAAGATGGACAGAGTGGTGGAGCTGAGCAAGAATGAAAAGAGTGCCCACATGGGGGACGAGTTTATGTTTGGTCAGTAAAGGCTATAGGGCGACTGACAGACACCCTCAGGGTCACATTCAGGGGAGGAAGACGCGTGATTCATGCTAGTGCTGCATCTGACGAAAGGTTTGCTTTCACAGAAACTTACATACAAACATTGTTTTTAATCCAATTGTGGTCAGTTTCTAAATTAGAAGTTCATATGAAATATTCTAAAGTTTGTCTCTCAAAGCAATATTCAGTCATTACGTG